ATCACGGTGAATACGTCTGCACGGCAGACAACCGGATCGGATCGGCCTCTGCCAGCTGTAACCTGACAGTGACAGGTGATGCTTGTTTACATACTTCTTTTTTTATTGAAATAAATCCTGCGTCTGCTCAGAGAGAGTGTTAATGGATGCTCTCACTTGTAGTTTTCCTACCTTATATATTATAATGTTTTCTCTGGTTATAAACCTTTGGGTGAATACACATTTCTTTGAGTAGTTCTCTGACTGTTGGTACATGTGACCCATAAAGCATAATCAGCCTAGACTTTGAAGTACATGCATGGCAGTATAACCACTGGCACCTGTCTAACACACACCTTGCTTCTCTCAGAACCGGTGCGCTTTATCAAGACACTGGAAGACACTACTTTCATAGTTGGTAAGCCTCTGACTCTGGTGTGCACGTACGCCGGCAGCCAGAGGGCCTTCGTCACCTGGAAGAAGGACGGCAAGATGATCTGGGCGTCTTATCAGTATAACGTTAGGACGACTGATTCAGTTTGCTTCCTGGACGTCCTCAACAGCGACCGCCCAGAGGCAGCTGGGACTTACACTTGCGAAATGTCCAACAAAGCGGGAACGGATGTCTGCCATGCTCGCGTCACCCTAGGTAAATTCACAACTCTTAACACACCACCTGCTTTATCCATTAACTGTGTCCGCCTGTTGTATAGAGCATTACAGCGGTTTGTGGTCTTTAAGTAGGGTTACATAAAGTGTAGACCACCATCTGCCTGCTAGCTTAACATACTGTAGGCTTCATGCAACTAACCCAACCATTACCCCTCTCAGAGCCGCCGTGCTTCCAAACAAAGCTGGAAGACACTCTTTTCAGACTCGGTGAACCTCTGAGCCTCAGGTGTACGTACGCCGGGAGCCAGAGGATGAGCGTCACCTGGAAGAAAGACGGTAAACTCATCTGGGCTTCATACAAGTACAACGTTAAGACCACCAAAGATTCCTGCGTCCTGGAGGTTCTCAACAGCGACCGCGAAGAGGCCGTAGGAAAATACACGTGTGAACTGTCTAACGCTGCGGGAACCGATATCAGCCACGCCAATGTCAAACTAGGTAACACAGCTGAGCACCTCTCCTCTTTACAGCCATGTGAATCACAGGCTATATCATGTCATCTTTTATCTTATAACACTAACACAAAACTGCTGATTGATTTCTTAGAGCCTGTTAGCTTTGTGAGAAAACTGAGGAACACCTTCTATAAAGTGGGTAAGCCTCTGACGCTGGAGTGCACGTTCGCCGGCAGCCAGAGCATTTACGTGACCTGGATGAAGGACGGCAAACTCATCTGGGCGTCGTACAAATACAACGTCAAAACCACCAAATCCTCCAGCAGCCTGGAGGTGCTCAACAGCGACCGCCGAGAGGCCGCTGGGAAATACTCTTGCAAGATTTCCAACTCAGAGGGCACTGCTATCTGCCATGCTATGGTTAAGATAGGTAAAGCCTCTGGCAACCAGTCAGTTTTACATTTAGAAATTACACATTTAAGTTATCTTTGACTTCAACATGCATTTGCTTGCTTACACAAACCTGCCACTGACTAACATGCCCGTTGCCTCCTGTAGAACCTGTGCACTTTATCAAAGAGCTGGAAGACACCACGTACACACTCGGCCGCCCCCTGTCACTGTACTGCGCCTACGGTGCAAGCCCTCCAGTCAACGTGAGCTGGAGAAAGGATGGGAAACCTGTCTGGGCCTGCTACAAATACAATGTTAAGACCACGGAGAACTCCTGCGTTCTGGAGGTCCTCAACAGCGACCGCATCGAAGCCGTGGGGAAATACTCCTGCGAGATTTCTAACTCTGAGAACAGCGCCGTCTGTTACGCGCAGGTCACTCTAGGTAACACAGGACAAGTGGTAGTGAGGGCTCATTGTTCTGGGTCTTATTCATACAAACAAAACGTGCATTCATCGGGCACGGCAATGCATTACAAACAATCAGCGTTTAGCATTTATCGAGTCAATTCATATTATACATGGTAATAAATAAACGATACATATATATATTTTTAAGTTTACAGTTATCTGCACAGATTATTAATTTCAGGCTATGGAAACATATAAATTATGCCACACAGGGTCGTGCAACAAACTATGCAGTTAATAATCCGTTGATGCTACACAGGATAACAGGAAAGGAAGTGGATGAGGAGACACAATGGTACATTTTCTGGAAAGACGTCAAAGTCCTAACAACAGAATTAAACATCTGGAAACTCTCCACCAACTTTTACGTTATCATCGGTGAAAATACATTAAGAAAATCTGTCTATTTGTTGTTAAAAATCGTTAAAAACCAGAAGCAATGAGCCTTCCTTGTAGCTTCAACAGCTAATTTTATTTCACATAATCTCCCTCAGTAGCTGACTAACCGCTGCCATCTCTCCTAGAACCGATGCGCTTCATGAAACCGCTGCAGGACATGAGCTTTAGGGTCGGCCAGCCTCTGAAGCTCCAGGTCACGTTCACGGGCAGCCAGCTCGTGCACGTGAGCTGGAGGAAAGATGGCAAACCCATCTGGGCTTCTTACAAGTACAACGTGAAGACGACAGGCAGCTGCTGTGTGTTAGAGGTCCTCAACAGTGACAGAGAGGAGGCTGCTGGGAGATATTCCTGTGAAATATCCAATGCCAGCAGCTCTGCTATCTGCCACGCTCAGATCAGACTAGGTAACATGCTAACACTCTCTCTCACTGATTAGCTCTCAGCTCCGGCTACATGACCTCACTAACCCGTATTGCTTCTCTCAGAACCTGTGCGCTTCGTGAAAAAGCTCCAGGACACGTCCTACCTCCTGGGCCAACCTCTGCATCTGACATGCACGTACAGCGGCAGTCAGCGAGTTCACGTCAACTGGACCAAGGATGGGAAGATAATCTGGGCTTCGTACCAGTACAACGTGAAAACCACGGACTCCTGCTGCACTCTGGAGGTCCTGAACAGCGACCGAGAGGAAGCAGCCGGGCTGTACTGTTGTCAGATCTCTAACGCTGAGTGTTCGGCCAGCTGCGATGCTTATGTCATTCTTAAAACCGCTAAGAAAGGTATAACCTCTCACAATAGCATTAAACATTTGCTTATACGTGGCTGTAGGAAGCAGAATCTCATCGTACTCCCAGACCGGCACTGGAGTTCTTATAATACTTCACATTTACTTTTACATATTTATCACCCAAATTAAGTATTTAGCCAGATGTTAAGTATTTAGCCAGATGTTAAGTATTTAGCCAGATGTTAAGTATTTAGCCAGATGTTAAGGCTGCGGGCACGCGTTCCACACGGACCCTGTCGGTCATAGCATTTACTTCATGCAGACATTAGTTAGTTGCGCTAGCTGCATCTACTCTTTCGACAATAGATAGATATTTATTTAAGTTAGAATCTTTGGGGTTAACACTTTACGATATTTGGATGTTGAACAAAGCATTTTTTTGTTCTTGATTCAATGTGGACCTGACAAATGTAATAATAATGCCAAATGGACAGGATAGTCAGAACCTAATATAAATAATAATGAACCCTTTCACATCGCGGTGCACAGGAGTGCGTTGAGATTCTGCAATCCGCTGCACGTTTAAAGCCTGATTGAATCCCATCAGTGGATCATAAATCATGGTAGTTACTTGCTTCTGCTTGCTTTCCACCGCCTTCACACCTAACAACCATCACTGCTTCTCACAGAGCCAGCCCGCTTCATCAGGAAGCTGGAAAACACCACGTTCAGGGTCGGCGAGCCGCTGTCGCTGAGAGTGGCGTTCACTGGCAGCCAAAGACTGAGCGTTAGCTGGAAGAAAGACGGGGGAGTGATCTGGGCTTCCTATAAGTACAATGTGAAGACCACCGACAGCGGCTGTGTGCTGGATGTCCTCAACAGCGACCGAGAAGAGGCTTCTGGGAGATATACTTGCGAAATTTCCAATGCCCAAGGCTCTGATACCTGCCACGCTTATGTGAAACTAGGTAACGCTAACGCATCCTGCTTGCAGTTAATGCATGAAGTTAATAACACCTCCAGGTAACCACTCACATATGCCTGAGCGCTGTATTGCTTTACGTACAGGTAAACGTCCCAGCATTCACGTAGCCTCTCTTTCTACGCATGAGAACATCCACGGGGTCCTTCGGATACTTCCAGATTCATAACGTGTCCTACGCATGTTCGACCTCAGTGGTTTCTGTGTCTGATCTCCACATTGCTTCTCTCAGAGCCCGTACGCTTTGTGAAGAAGCTGGCGGACGTGAGCCACCAGCTGGGTAAGCCTCTGAAGCTGCAGTGCTCGTACTCCGGCAGCCAGAGGGTCTACGTGACGTGGAAGAAGGATGACAAGTTGATCTGGGCTTCTTACCTCTACAACGTCAAAATCACCGCCTCCACCTGCACTCTGGAAGTCCTCAACGGCGACAGGGCTGCCTCGGCCGGGAAATACACGTGCGAAATTTCCAATGCCGAAGGCAGTGACACCTGTCACGCTAACGTTAAAATAGGTAACGCCGTACAAACGTCCCCCCGTGTGGTTCCCGTCACTAACCCTAACGTTCGGTGTAGTTCTCGTTTCCTGTGGTCTTGTCTCCGTTGGTAACACGAAGGGAATTTGATGACATCTCAAATCCTGGGTTATTCTGTTGGTGTGTTCATGGTGAACTTGTGGTTGTTGGTTTGAACAGATAAAGATTATACTTAGGGTTTTAAAGGTCCTTGAGAGCATGTGTTCCACATTGTTGTCGATGGATCATCTGAATATTTGCTTGCTCTAAAAAGGGATTTTTTAGTCTTTGTGTTTTTCTTTATTTGCTCGCTTGTATGTTGCAGGTTGTTTGTATGTCGTCCTAAGTGGCTCTCTGTTTTACCAGATGCTCTGTGAAGGCCCGGTGGCCTCGTGATGATGATCTGAATTACGAAACCCCTTCCCACTGTCAAAACATGGCCTGACTTTCTCTCCTCTCTCCCCGATAACAGAGCGCAAAGTCCCTCCCAACTTCACCAAGAGGCCCTCGGAGTCCATGATGGATTCTGTGGGTAAGACGGTGAAGATGGAGGCTCGGGTGTCCGGCTCGCAGCCGCTGAGCATCACCTGGTACAAGGACAACAACCAGATCTACGGCTCCGACAAATACGCCATGAGCTTAGAGAACAACGTGGCCGTGCTGTCCGTCAGAGACTCCAGCAGCTCTGACGGCGGCGTGTACTCCTGCGAGGCGTCCAATGAGGCCGGCAAGGCTTCCTGTCGGGTGACCCTGAACATCACAGGTATATCGGTTCATTCATCTCTATAGTCTACTAATGACTGGCTGTAGTGTGTTCCTCTGAAAGGGCAATCATCTCCAGGTAAAACCCAACATTGCTACCATGAATAGATCTTCATGTTTGCAGGAGGTGAGAACAGTCAGATAACACAAGCTGCATCTGTAGTCAGCCCACCAACAGCAGCGGATGATTCTGTTAGCATTAGTACTCCAGGAAGTTGCACAAGAGGCATGTAAGAACTTATGTAAGAGACAGAGTTCCCGTTAGCCGGTAATTACCGGACTAAGACCGGTAAAATATGCTGAAGACCGGCAAATCTCTCCGTTCAAAGTGTCCGTTCAAAATAATTTCCCTTTAGCGCAATACCGCATCAGTTGCGCAACTTGCGCCACTTATGTCTCAGACAGAAGAGTATGTGACAGACAAGAATAGTCAATTCTAATGTCTAACACTTAATCTGGAGAAAGAGATGTCCTGTATGGGTTGATTGTGCGTTGATCTGTTGGTAATGCCTCGGGGTTCCGGTGGGCATGTAAACAAATGCATAATGCTGCGCTATACTTTGTGGCCTCACCCAGTCGCATAGCAACACTTATTGTTTAGGTGTCTTTTAATAAGCAGGTAGTCATATCATTAGCTAGAACTAGCTGGATCTGATCGATATGGACATAAACGCGAGTGAAGTCTAATCTGACGGGAGAGAGAGATCAGCTGCTGCTGACGAGTCGACACGCAGCTCTGCATGATCACATGCAGCAGTAAGCGAACAAAACACACACTTCAGGTTAGAATATCACACGTAGCTATTTTAATTACCTCTCAAACTACCGTAACTAGTTATAGATATGTTTAGTTTTACTGTCGGGTCACTCATTACTGGATCCGCGAGCTGCATGATACTGATGGGCTGTCAGGAGAGGGAGAGAGCGCTCTGTTTATTATTCCCATGTTATTATAAATTACTGTTCACTTTTGAATAATGTAGTTACTCTACTATAATTAGTTTGTTTAATATCGAATCATATCAATTTGTTTTAAAGCTCAATAAATAAAAAAGAAGACCTTTGACGGCACTTTTCTCATTTAGTCCAGAAGATTTCAACTTTAACGGACATGTTGACCGGCGAAAAAATATTCTAACGGGAACTCTGGTTCTGTTCTTTGGCCACTGTAAATATTCTCACAAATATGTTTTGTGCAGCGAAGATAAGTTGTATGGATGCAAAGAATGTATTTTTGTAATCAAGCACTGGTAAATGTGGAGGAAGATACCTAGCTTGGTTGCTGGTTCAAATGAACGTTTAATCCAGGACACAGTTATTCAGTCTGTGAACCAAACTCCCGTCTCGCTGCGTATCAGCAGCTGGAGTGTGTTTCTGACGGCTGTGTAGTTGGGTTCATTTCAGGTTTAGGTCAATGAAGACTGCAACACAAAGACTTTTAGGTCTGCAGGAGATAACCGTCCAGTTCCCGGTTTAAATCCTTCTTCCACGCCTCTCCTCCAGAAACTGGCCAGGCTCCGAAGTTTGATGTTCCTCTGGAGCCGGTGACGGTGAACGAGGGTGAGAAGCTGAGCCTGAAGTGTCATGTGACCGGCTCCCCTCCTCTGAACATCCAGTGGATGAAGGACAGGAGGGAGCTGAAGTCCAGCGGGAACACTCGCATCACGTTTGTTGGCGGGTCGGCCTGTCTGGAGGTCAGCCCGGCCTCAAAGAGCGAGGCTGGGGATTACCTCTGCAAGGCCTCCAACACCACCGGCAGCAACTTCTGCAAGTCCAAGGTCACTGTGAGAGGTAGGCTTTTTATCATCTAACAAACCTTCTCAGTTTGGCTGTTTTTTTCCCAGCCTGGATACCTGATATGATTAACCAGGAGCATGTGTTTTGGTGCTTTGTGATAATTTAGCTAAGATAATATAGAATAGGAATAATACATGTAATCCTTGTGTCTTACTTAATTTACTGAAATTACATTTGGGGATAAGCTTATTGTTCCTTCAACTTTCTGATAAAAGCCTTGCAAAGTTTACAATCTGTTCAAAAGGTGAAATCTTTTACCATTTGTTTACCTCCAAAACACACATTTTTAAATATTGTGGGTTTGAGGTTTATGGTTCTAACTTAAAACCAAAGTACCCCATAACGAGTCCCCCTCCTTCACTGCTGCTGGTGTTTGAGGCTGGGCTTCTTTATGTCGGACTCACCTGGTCATGATTTCTCTTCAGACTCAGGAGTGAAGGTTTCCCCCCCGGAGGCCGCCGCCCCGGCTGCAGCCGCCCCCGTCAAGAGACTGGACAACCTGTTCTTCATCGAGGAACTGCAGACGGTTTCTGCCACTGAGAGTAAGTGGAATGCAGTTTGTGAAACATATGGTAAAGAACTCACTGCTACATAGCTTGAGTACCTACATACATACCCACCCACCTACCTACCCACCTACCTACCTACCTACCTACCCACCTACCTACCCACCTACCTACCTACCTACCTACCCACCTACCTACCTACCTACCTACCTACCTACCTACCTACCTACCTACCTACCTACCTACCTACCTACCTACCTACCTACCTACCTACCTACCTAAGACCTACCTAAGACCTACCTAAGTGTTGGTCAGGAGGAAGTGTTGGTCAGGAGGAAGTGTACGCCCCTTCATGTTCTTCGTGTTTCCTCTGCAGAGGGCACCGCCACCTTCATCGCTAAGATCAGCGGAGACCCGATCCCCAGCGTGAAGTGGATGAAGGGCAAGTGGAGGCAGATCACCCCCGGTGGTCGCATCTCCATCGAGCAGAAGGGCCAGGACGCCAAGATGGAGATCAGAGAGGTGACCAAGTCGGACTCGGGTCAGTACCGCTGCGTCGCCACCAACAAACACGGAGAGATCGAGAGCAGCGCCGACCTGGAGGTCAGCAAGAAGGAGGAGGCGGAGGGACTGGGAGACATCCGGACCCGGCTGAAGAAGTAGGAAACATGTTTTAGGAGAAATACAGACAAACACACTGCAGAGGCTGTAGGACGTTACACTCAAGAGGAAAGAGAAACATTTTGAGAAACAACCAAAATATAGTTATAAGTTATAAAGCTATTTCAATTTGAAGTCTCTATCATCATGTGCTCAGCAGCTACAGAATCAAGCTATGAACTGCATTATGTATTCAATTTGAATCACCATTATTACACAGCTGGAGAGGTTTTGCACCGTAGACCACTTGTGAGACGTATTTCTAGGAAAGTTTCCTCTGACTTTGTTGGATGTACTCCAGTTGAGTGAACAAGAGTTTCTTTAGATCACCTTTGAGGATAAATGAGGAGTTGACATTGAGGAAGATTCATTGACAGAACTCCGTCCTCTTTACTAGCAGAGGATCTGAGATTTCTCACATCTGATTTTGTTCTTGATGTTTTCCAGGACTCCCTCGAAGCAGAAGAGTCCCAAGAAGGAAGGAGACTTCAATATCGTGGACCTGCTGAGAGGACACAACCCCAAAGACTACGAGAAGATCCTGCAGGAGCACGGCATCCACGACTACCGCGCCATCCTGCAGGCCATCGAGTTCCTGAAGAGGGAGAAGGAGATGGAGAGCGGGAAAGTGGTAAAGAAAATTGTCTTTACTTCACTTCCTGTCCCCTGGTCTGGAGGCCAATGGTTCCCTGAGACACAAGCTGAAGAGAATTCACTCCAGAATCACATAGAGAAATGCTATTGGACCAGGTAGATGCTGCCTTCAGGGTCCAACACAGGAATACATCATCCCTAAAGCAGCCGCGCAGAGACACAGCGAGGCTAGCTGTTTCTACCCCATTACAGTCTTTATGCTAAGCTAATGTTAGGCTAAGTTAACATGCTGTATCAGAATCAGAAACAGGTTTGTTACCAGGTAGGTTAACACATATGAGGAATTTACTTGGTGTTGTGGTTATCGGACTGTCAGAGAAAGACAACGTTTGCTTCCCTTTTTAAAGTAGCTATCAGAGTGGTGAATGAGGACATGTTGTCTCTGTATCTCTGCAGGAAGTGGAGCATGGAGGCCAGGTGGAGGAAGAGGACATGGCTCGCCTCATCCAGCAGCTGGAGGGACGCGTCAGCACCGAGGTACAACATGCAGAATCTAATATAAATGAGTTACTTTAAAGGTCTCCTGTCATGCAAAATGCACTGATGTCTTCTCTACATCACCATGTGTCCCCGGTGTGTCAGGAGACTCACAAAGTGATGTCTTCTCTACATCACCATGTGTCCCCGGTGTGTCCCCTGTATCCCCCCGGTGTGTCCCCATGTGTCCCCGGTGTGTCAGGAGACTCACAAAGTGTCAGGAAATAAACCCCTCTCTCTTCTCCTCCGTACCCACATCTCTAAAAACGGGGTAACACTCAGAGCTAACCTGTACTGGAGAGAGTCTGTGTGAAGAAGCAGGAAATCAAAAGGAACTGACCCAGAGACATGTCCTTAGTAACAGCTGGAAGAGAGGGGGGGGGCTACAACGATCTGTTTGGGGTTTGGAGCAGGACACTTCAGAGACATGTCCTTAGTAACAGCTGGAAGAGAG